TCTCTCTCTCTCTCTCTCTCTCTCTCTCTCTCTCTCTCTCTCTCTCTCTCTCTCTCCTTCCCTGTCTTTGGCGCGATCGGATTGCGCGGCTTTAGGTCGGACGCACACGAGACTCGTGAGTCCAATGAAAGTGGCTACGAGAAGCAAGGAACGATGGTGTTGAAGAAAATTTGATTCTCGCTCGTGTTCCGAAGAGAAACGCGACAAAGAACGAAATAACTCCGTTAAATAATATACATGGAACTTGAAAAGCGAGAAAAAGATTTAATAAAATAGAACTGGAGGAACTAATAGATGAAATTGAACTTCAAGAAATCCGACTTACATATGTATCAAATTTGAGAGGAGATATTGAATAGAAATGAAGCTAAGCATATCAAATGAAAGGAGAAATTGAATAAAAATGAAACTAAGCATATCAGTAGAAAGAAAGAAGAAAAGAAAAGTCTTATTCGGATATTTAAATATAAGATAAATGTATAATAAAATCACACGTGTTTATATCTATTTGTAGCGTCGAAACTTGTCGAAATTATCAATTCCGAGATTTTATTCTCGAAAAATATCGCAAGTGAAAATACTAGGGAAATCTATAATATACATATATAACGTATACTATAGTATTTTCGTACATTCTTGTATGCGATATTTTCGAGAATACAATCTCTGATCCCGAATTATTTCTCAGTGTTCAAAATATCAGCTGATCGCTCGTCATTATCTTTTAAAAGACACAAAAGAATTGTCTCATCATTATTCAAGTATTTTATTGATAAGTCCAAAGTCGTATAATCGTCGATAATCAAGATTCGATGTCTTCAATTCCAGCTATGCAATTATTTTCTGCCTGTCTAAAAATAAGAAAGATTCGCGCGCATTTATTTTATGGTGGTAGAAATATAGCGAATTCGATTGGATGCACTAGTACATATTTAAAGTCATTGTATACTAATTTAATCTGAATAAAAATCAAATGCAAATATTTCGAATTATAAAATTCCGATTTTAGTTAATAGCACAATAAAATGTGGTTTAATTCGCTTTTATATTAAATTGAATACACATTTTTTGCGTCAATTTGTGGACGATAGTTTTAATGTGCACCAGTGCAAAATGTGCAAACTGAGTGAATCCAATCGAATTCGTCAACCGATCCATATACAGATAACTTGGAAGATTGAAGTAGAAATGTTGATGCGAAATAATACTTTTTCCGTGCTTACAGATTAGTTTGTCGTGTGTCAACTGAAGCCGACCACACGTGACGCCGTTTATATCCATCAGAAGCTATAAATAAGAAGATTACATTCTCGAAAGTCATTTCTCGCGTAAGTACGTTTGCGTCAGTATAAACATCACGTAAATGTCGCATCAGTACATCTTACAAAATGCAATATTTGTCTGTGCAAATTGGAATATGCGCATATTGTAACGTGATAAAAATACGTGTGATTTTAGTTATTAAGATTAATACCAGTTTCTTCACTTGGTCACATCACAACATATAATTTGGCATAGACTTTAGATTCGTTTGTCTGCACTGAATCTACACCAAACAAATATATCGTAGTCACATGTACGACTCTTTACTGAATACAAATAAGTACGTTTGCTTCTCTTTCTACAACAGCGATTCTCAAGCTACATTTTCAGCAAACTCGACTGCATGATGTTCATTAAGCATAATTGCGCAGCTTATATTCTTTTTCATCAATAATTGTTATATAATCAAGCAAGAGAACTGAACTCGATGAATTTGAAAAATATAATAAATATGACATCAATCAATACATTACATAAATAATTCTTTGCTCCTGTTAATTATTCTGCGGAAGAAGTAAAAAATTAATTTCAAAACAATTAATCCAAAAAAAAATATTTCTTATTCTTATATCGAATTCGAAAGAAAGTGTAAATTATTATTTTCATTTGCATATTATCTTATATTTTATCATTTAATTATATTTTTTCAAAATATTATTAAAGAAAAGATATGGAAATATCTAAAAGTAACGAAATGTATACAAAAGAAGCAAGTTGAGAGTATTGTATTGCAAGATGATTTAAATCGAATAAGCTAACTTAAGGGCTCCACATAGCTCGGTATGCGTCTCAACACTCCGAACGGACCCATGGTGAGCTCGGCCCGGGGAATTTTAGAAAAAAAGAACAAGCATTCCGAGACAAGCTGATCGTTCCGGGTATGATTTAAAGAGATAGTGCTTGCGTCTCGCGAACATATTCCTTCATCCTGTGGTTGTGATTTATTCAAAGCGATTATAGAAAATTTTGATAATGTTTTGGAGTAATAAATCAATGTAAAGTAATTGTTAACTTGCTTATTAATCTGTTTCTCTTTGGATAGATCGATTATGCTTTCGATGTGATGTTCTATTTTATTATTTATATAATTTTATATACTGTATATGTACTGTATATATATATATTTTATATACCGTGTAATTTTATATACTGTATTATAGATAACTGTGATAAAAAAAACTTGATAAAAATGTTGAACTATATAAAACTTTTAAAAAAATCATTCAACAACTTTATATAGGGATGTTGATTCAGTTTCGTTAGCAAACAGATAAACTGAGAGAAAAAAAATTTAGAATCGATGTTATAAGTCGATAAAAGTTGGAGCAACTCCAGTTCGAGTCTTTTGCCGGATACACAATTAACTACTAGTGAGAGCTACTAGGATTTCTCGAGACCAATAGCGTCACGATTTGTGCTTGAAAGGTTGGGAGCAATGCACGACGCGGAGTCATTGATTGGTCAGCCGTTATCTCGAAACCAAAGTATGAAGCATCGCACAGCACATCGGCAGCTGCATTCGATGTAAAAATGATGTATCGATTAAAAAAAATGACTTTTTTCAACACCTTTTTTATCATCAAACTATTTGTCCATACATTTTTACCTCGACGCGAAGGCTGAAATTTTTGCCTTCCTATCCGTTGATTGGTTGCTCACGGGGATGGCCCGTCAAGTCAACCCCGGCGTAGAGTCACGTTGGCGAAAGTTGGCAGAATCGACAGTGCGTTGCAACATCGATCCCGGAAACGTGTTCACGTTTAACAAAGAACGCGACAAAGTCTACACGATTACTTACTCGAAGATTAAATAGAGCTCGGAGGAGGTTACTAATAGGCGCCGGCAGGATAATTTCACGACTTTGCTCCGTATGTTCGCAATCGAGGACGATGTGGGCACTAATGCCGAGTCTCCAGTGCGTCGAAGACAGGAAACGCCGCCGCCATCCACAACCACGACGGTGGCGGCGGCGGGCGTCCACGAGACGTGCGCTGTGGCTTGTGCGAAGATGCAAACGAAATGTGCGCAATGTGTTTCGTGTGCACGAGACTTCAGGCGGCCAGATGTGACGAGGCCGATCCTCTCTATCTATCTCTCTATCTCTCTATCTCTCTATCTCTCTCCCTCTCCGTTTCTCTGCCCCTTCATTTCGTAAAGGTCTTAGGTCGCGAGCTCTACGACACCAGCCTAGCTATCTCCCTTTAGGGTGACTTCGACCAAATCTCGATTAATTTAATCAATGATTGATTCAATCGGCAGAATTGCTTACAAAAGCACAATTTTCAATCATATATTCCGCTGCTCCTGATCTAATTTTGTTCTACATGTTAACAACAAATTCTTTCTAATCAATTAAAGTTGTCCTTAATCTCCTTTTTCTTTAATCCTAGGGCTGCATACTTGTGATATCCAATGAAAATTTCCAGCTTCTTGGGACTTTTTTGTTTGAATGTTTGTACTTGACGATTTAGCGACTTTAAGTTTATGGTTGACAAGCATAAATTTTGATTTTATAATTATTTGATCTTGAAAAAAGAAATGTTGAAAAACATAGATACGTTTGTTTTTTTTAAATTATGTGTTATAGATATATGGAAGTCTGAAAAACGCACGGAGTAGTCCACGTCTACAAAAATGTATGCAGTCTTAGAATCAACTGACCAATTAAGTCAACAGTACAGCAGTAAGCTGAATGTTGAAATAGAGCGATAGCACTCCAGATATGTTCTTTTTATTTCGAGTCTCTGGCTTCTCTTATCAAAACCTGGCGAGTGTGGTGCCACAGTTCTAGCCCGACATAGCGCGCAATCAGCTGTTAACATCGATCGAAGGCCACGCGTTGCCGCCGGCGTTCTCGCGTCGTCGATTGTCAGAGAATTCTCGATTCCTTCTCGAAAGAGCGAGACCCCAGGAAAAGTGCTATCGTACGATAACGACCAATGGCGCGCAAGCGGAGGAAGCGATGCCTCTCTATTGGTGGAATTGTCAAATATCGCGCGCCTCGATGATCATTTTCGCTGCACGTTTTCGAGAATCGAGGTCTGTCCTTTTCGTCTTTTCGCCGTTCGAGAAACATATTTAGGTGTCGAAAAAAAGAAAAAAACCGAACCAGAATGCAAGCAAATATTAGGAGCCTCCGAGCTGCCTTCATTTACACGACGATACATCTCTGTCTTTCGTCCGATTGCTTGTTTCCCTCTTCGCGCCACCCTTACATTAATCGAGAATTGCGTTCGCGGAATCTCGAGGAACTCGATCTCGTGCCATATCGCTGGTAAATAATGAGAATCGAAGTCACGGCCTCGTGCACATCGACGCGCTCGCCCACTCCTTTACGTACGCACGATACGTACGCACGCACGCACGCACGCACGCACGGCACGCACATACATGCCGGTTCGACGCGTCACTGGTGAGAGATACGCGTGCCGCACACACAGACACGAGCACACGTATACATACTCGCGTATACGTGAGACCATCGCGTCGCGGCGAACTCGTTTAAAGAGCCGAGACGACACCGCCGGTGTGTCCCTAGTAAGGTGCGTTACCCGTCACGTCATGTAAAGGAGCGGCGCGATCGGCCGCTGCTTTGGAGACGTTTCCCCGAAGATGCTCCCTCGACGCATCCTGGCCAAAGCGCGAAACTCGCGGTATTCTACCGGCACGGCGATAGGCGAATCGAGGAAGGGCAAACATATAATCGGTCCGGGTGCTGACCTGTGGCGTGTAAAAACTGCGTTTCTCGTTAGGAAGTCGTCGTCAACAGCCACCGCCGCTGATGACGACACACGTCGCGATCTCGGACGAGAAAGAGAGACGGAAGTAGCAAAAGTCGGTGCGATCGGCGCGAAGAGGTAATGCGTCCGTCCGCTCTCTTTCTCTCTCTCTCTCTCTCTCTCTCTCTCTCTCTCTCTCTCTTCTCTCTCGGCTCTCGCCAGCGCAGCGTTTCCGTCCCTCCTCCTCTCACGACGGCTCGCTCCCGGTTTTTTGCTACTTACTTGGCTGCTCGCGAATGTGTGCGCTGCGCTGCGCCGCGCCGTACAGTATTTTGAGACGGAGACCCGCGCTCTCTTCCGGGAGAAGATTCAGCAGCAGGCCAGCACACGGCACGCGGCGTGTGTGGCGCGTGTTGCAGCCGTCGCAGGACGGTTGGAGCCGGGCATCCCCCAGTCCGGGTGGTCTCTTTCGATCCCGGCGATCCCGGCACTCGAGTTTCGAGAGGGATATGGCACAGAGGAACACCGCGGCTAACGGCAAAATCGTCCGCCGGACGGAACGAACGTACGGAGCCTCCTCGAGGAGGAGAATGACGACGACGACGACGATGACGACAGACGGAGACGGAGCGAGCCCTTCCTCGTCGGCCTGTATCGCCTCGAGATGTATATCTCAAATTATCGCCCGCTCTCACCCTTTCCCTCCGTTCCCTCGACGTGGCTGTAATCGTTGCGGCTTTACATACTCTCGCCGTACTTTGCGCGATTTCTCCCTCTTACTCTGCCCTGGCATACGTCGCTCTTTTTCTTTCGAGGTCGCTCGTTTTCTACGAGCGTGTTCGTATTGCTGCTGCTGCTGCTGCTGCTAGAGTACGGTGTCCATTTTCTGCGCGATTCGATCTGCCGCTACGGTTACGCTACGCACAGGCGGGTCCAAGTAGGCAGCAGGTAGCCAGGCAAAGACGAGCCAGGCGATTCCTCGTACAACGCGACGGAAGGGGCGCTCGTCGTTCCAGAACAATATGCTGAATCGAGAACGTTACGGATGTTTTTCACTGTCTAAAATACAGCGTGGCTTGAACCTTAGAGCGAGCCCCGCCTCGGCATGCTCGGCTCGGCTCGACTCAGGCCGACCAGGAGGCCGGCGAAGCAAGCAAGGAGAAACGAACCTTCTCTCTCTCTCTCTCTCTCTCTCTCTCTCTTTCTCTCTCTCTCTCTTTCTTCCTCTTTATACGTGTCTCGTTACGTCGCGCGTGTACGTATGTACGTACGAGGCCGGCACGCCAAGCAAGAACGTCCGGACGATCGGTCGGTTCGCTACTTCGCTCTTTCCTTCGACTGCTTCGACTGCTTCGACTGAATGTATGGCTATGGACGGGAACCCCAGACTGCGGGTACCGTGGCGCACTGGCACGACTGGGCCGATTCGGGTAACGAGAAGCGGACAGAGTGTGCCGCGTGCGCCGGTGCTCGCGAGATGCCAAGAGAGGGAACGAGAGAGAAAGAGAGAACCAGCCGCGTGTCCGTGCGTATTCGCGAATGTCTACGGGAGGGAGGGAGAGTCTCTCTCTCGCCTCGCGATTCGCGAGGTGGTGTACCGGCCGTACCCTCCGCACTACCAGCTCTCACAACTATGTGTTGATGTCGGTGTATATACTGGTGTATGCGAGACCACACGTTGGCACCGTCGCGTCGCGTCGCGTCGCCTCGTGTCGGCTGTCGCGCGGCGCCGCCGCCGTCGCCGCCGGCGCGTGTATGCGGTGTATGTGCGATGCGATGCGATGTGATGCGATACGACCCGATCGCGGAAAAGCGCGGCACGCATGCGTCGCAAGCCGTTAAACGTGCGTACGAGTCAACGAGCGCGAGAAAGACAGAGAGAAAGAGAAAAGGATGACGCTTCCGAATGTATATGAGTGAACGAGTCACGCTACGTTGGTGGCGGATAATATCGTGATGTTGGTGTAATCTCGCTGTATTTCTCGCGCGTGAAGCGTCCACGGAAGATTACGTCGGAAAAAATGACGAGTTTCGTAACCAATGGAAATCTCTCTCTCCCTCTCTCTCTCTCGCTCGCTCGCTGTCTCACTCGGCGTTCGACAGGTGACACTTTAAAGCGACCTGACGCGAGGCGTAGACTTACCGGAATTAGGGCAGCTAGCTCTCTCGGAGAAACTCAAATGTCCTCAGCAGCACGGCACTCGTGACGAATGACGAATGATTGAATTCGTGCAGACTCGGACGGGCGGAAGGCACTTTTGCGGAGCGAGGAGATTCGGGACGCGTTCGTTGATCGTTCGCGTTTCACGCGATGACAACGCGTCGTTCCTCGCCGCCTTTCATAAGTGCGCGCGCTTCCGAGCGGACGGCGCGGCGGCACCCTCGCCGTAGCAGTAACGGCAATGGTCGATCTCTTCGTGTGCGTGTCGCGCGGCGACGTGTCGGTGTGTCCGTGTCGTCCGTGAGCCGGCGCACCGGCCATCTGCCGGTCGCACGCGACAGCTGAAATACGCGCGCCAAAACCGTCGTCGCTGGTCGCCACCAGCTTCGTGCGGCTTCGTGTTGCGTTCAATCGCGTTCACCCGATATGACCGAGCCTTTTTCAGATGATATCACGACATTTGCACACGCGAATCCCCGCGAGCGAGCCTACTACTAAAATACCCCCCTAACGAATGCGACGCGCGCGATAATCACTCGATAATGTCAACTGGCTATTATCGCAATTACGAACGCGTTCCGTGCCGTTTCACGCGCGTCATCGCGTCATCGTGTTTCCTCGAGATTCTCGAGAATCCTCGTTGAGATCGTCAGCTAGGAAAACTCGCCTCGGCCCCCGGTGAGCGTCGGCGATCGTTGCGCGTCGCCTTCACCTGGTTTACCCGCCAAAACTTACTCCGCCGGCTGCTCCACCACGGTCGAGGGATCGCCAAAGCCGAGTGACGAGAACGGTTATTTATCGCGAAATATCCTCACAACCGTTCGTCTTCTCGTCCTCGACGACGACGTCGCGGCACCGGTTATCTATTTTCAGCACTCTCGCAAGCATTCCCGCGTTTCCGGAGCGCACTATTACCATACCGGTCCGCCATGCTCGGGGGTGTTGGCGAACAGAACAAAGTGAATGTCTTCTCGTTTTCCTTCTTTCTCTCCCTCTCCCCTCCCCTCTCCCTTTTTCCCGTCCCTTTCTCTCTGTAAACGCCGATGGATATCAGGTCCCTTTAATCCAGGCTTCCTCACGGCAGAGGATCCAGGGGGGACGGAGGGGCAACGCGTTACGGACACGGCGTTAGGCAGCACTCGCGAATTATGCAATTTAGTGACGTATTAATTTGACAACGATCGTGCAAGCGCTTACGTACGCACACGCGCCTTCGACTGCCTTCGACTCGACGATCCTGCCGGACAACTGATGCCCCTCGTTTCTTGCCTGGTCTTACCCGAAACTCCGCCGTACGATCGTCCCTTCCTTCGCGAATGGAGGGGCATTCAGCTGCAGGGATGTAGCGGGACGAAAGACGAGCAGGGCCCTCTCCCGACCCGAGAATGTCGAAAACTCTACGAGAAAATCGATGGACGAGACAGGGACAAAATTATCACTGGCAAAAAGTCGTACTTTTTTTTATTTCAATTTCATCACTAACGGTGATCTCCTTATCACAATTCAGACTCCTCGATCGCCGTCTCGTATCAAGTATATACAATACAATACAATGTAATCGCGTCAAATAGATGCTACTTTTCATTGGAAAACTGGAGTTTCGTACAAATAATGGATATTATATTTTTTAAACATTATTTTCTCAAAAGATGAGAATGGCTCAGTTCAATTTTTTCAATTATAATAGTTTATGTCACAATATACACTCATATGCACTGCATATACAATAGAATATAATTCTATTGGATGATTGTACAGATTTGAAACGTGTATTGGGTTGTCCGAAAAGTTCGCGCCGCAAAAGATTTAAATTTAATAAATGTATACTAAAATTTAAATCTGCGTTTCAATTTTCCTTCAAAATTGGCACGAACTTTCCGGACAACCCAATATAATATCAAAGAAATAGCGTTAACATACTATACCTTTTTATAAATATCAACAAAAAGCTGTGACCTACATTTAAAATTAATCAGTTTTTTCATTTTACCGCAGATAACTGAAACATACAATTGTACATATATGCGATAAATATTAGTCAAATAAATACATATGTTATAAACAATATTATAATACAATATTATAATAAACAATATAATATTATAAAATAGTTAAAATAGTTTAAATTGGCAAAAATGGGCTTTATTTTAATGACGCATGCAGATTATTGTACGTGTAAGCAATTTATCAATTTATCAATCTTGTACATTTTTCTCGCTTTCCCATATGATCATTGCGAGAGAAATATGTAGTGAGAAAGATAAAAGAGAACCATAATTTAAAGGCAATAGCTATTGAAGTAGAGAGACTCTATCATATTGATTATATTTTGTAAATAATAATGTTAAATAAGCAAAAAAAAATACATGTAACAACGATAAAAATTCGCATGCATTTCTTAATAACAAATGACTAATCCCTTGGCTCTTTTTATTGCGCTTTGCCGGGAATTCGAGTAATCTTAGTACACGCCTGAGTCAAGTCGAGCCAAGAAGAAGGGGGGCCCGGTGCATTCTTCGTAACGTATTTATTTGAACCCTACGGGGCAAATACAAAAGGATCGCTCCTATGTAGACCATAGGGGAGGTATACGATTTCCTTTCTTGCTCTTCGACTACCTTCCTCTACTTTTTCCATGCACCATCCGTTCAAACTAAGTAACCCTCCCTCCTATTTTTCCCCACTACTTTTTCATTGTTGTTAGAGCATTACCAGAAAGTTGTGCAGCAAAATATTGTTGAAATATATGTGCAGTGCGATCGACAGGCGAGGATAATATCATATATCGACGATCACAAAGATTTCGGGTCGCTCCACCCGCGGGCGATCGTTGATCTGCATTGCCGAGTATGTGATGGCCTTTACTTCTGCGCCTTGCGTGTGTTTGCCAATTGTGAACTCCTCGCCATATGCGGTTGCCTTGATTTTAAATCCTTCTCGGTCGAATTCGGTAATCTTGACTTTCTAGTGACAGACGTGCGGAGAGATTTTCACCTTTAGGTTTGGATGTAAATGCGGTAAGTTTCACGATCTTCACGGTCCAACCGAAAGGACTATTCGACGATCATTTCAAATTAATTTCGTGTAAATAAAACATGTCGTAATTGTATGAATTAATTAATACATAGTAATATTATTTATAAAGCCAAACAAAAGAATAAAATATTAAGAAATTATTTTTAATACATAGCAAAGAAAGTCTTCAATATTTCATGTAGAATACAAAATTCATATACGAATCATACAATTACATTTCTGTGACATTATATGTAATATAATGTATTATCAAAAGTTGGATGGTACCGTTATTGCTGTAACGGTAAATTATTAGCAAGTATCTATATTGATCACAAAGAAATGTCGCAACAAAGAAATACCTTGGCGACTATATATGGCTCGGCGCTAAACATGAAGAGCAGCTCATCAAGAAAGTGAAAGAGTAGACTCTCCATGTCGTCACCTTCGGCCTCAATGTGATGCACCTGTGTGACCTGCACGCGCTCGAGATCCGTCATGTAACCGAACATGGCCATCGCGCATTGCTCGAAAGCCTCGTCCATGGTGTCGCCCCATGCATGCAATCTGAAAACATAATCGGTGATTTATACATTGCCGAATCAATCTCTGTCACAAATAAGCTTTTAAACGTCTATCGATTTCCGCACAATTGCGCGCGTGCTTTTTTAGGTTAGCCGGCGAAGTAACCTTCAAGATTAATCGATCAATCGCTACAACTGAATGCAGTACTTACTGTACGTCCGCGGTGTGATCCAAATCTGTAACAGAAAACATGGATTTTTTTCGTGATTATTTTCAAAACTGTGGCTGAGGGATTTGCGTCATATTACGGAAACTTTGCGTCAGTTGCGATTACGAGGTTAGAATTCGTCGCGTGCGAAGACGCGTCAAAGTACACGTCGACAGATGAAATATTTTCGAGAAAAGAGCGAAAGAAAACGGTAATGTTAAGAAAAAAATTTGCGATTGATACTTACACTCGTATTTGGCGAGTGGTATTTCGAGATCTACGCTCGCCAGCTCGTCCATGTCGCGCACAGCTGATTCTCTTCCACGTAATGCAAGGCGATCAGCTGATTCACTGACGGGTTCAATCAACGACAACGTAGTTCACGTAGATGAGTTCACGCCGACCAGGTGGCGCTACTTACAAGCGAACTTGAGCGCTTAACGGCCACATGGAGTAACATGTGGCTCCGTGTGAGAACGGTCGATTCATTTAGCAAATGACAAATTTCGGATTTGATTCTAGTCTAAATGAAATACTCATGTGAATGACCATTTTTTGAAATATTTCAATAAAAATATTTTTAAAATATTATATAAGTATTGTAAGAAAAAAAATATATTTAAAAACTCTGACTTCCTGGAAAAAAAA